TGTTTGTATGAAATACCTCCCCTTCCTGTGGAGCAGGCATAGAAAAGCCAGACCCAACCCAATAGATACAGGGGTTTAGAAAAGGCCATCATTAGTAACGTTTCAGTTGTGGTCAACGGGTAGTAAACATCATAGAAATGGTTGATCCAATATATTGCTGCGAAAGTACTTGTGGTACAAGTGATCCATAAAATAGTCTCTCCGACTCGACCCCCGAAATAAAGGTTAGGCTTATAGCGGATCACATAACCGGTAAGCATACCGATTGCATAACTAACCAAATGCTATTAATTATGAATAATTATACTTGAATATTATCTGACTTACAATACAGATTTCAAATGATAATCTAGATGTTGGTATGAATCCCTTCCACCCAAGTACTTTATTTATAAAACCTTGACAATAATACAGTTAATAATTTGCATGAAATATGTTTGTATGAAATACCTCCCCTTCCTGTGGAGCAGGCATAGAAAAGCCAGACCCAACCCAATAGATACAGAGGTTTAGAAAAGGCCATCATTAGTAACGTTTCAGTTGTGGTCAACGGGTAGTAAATATCATAGAAATGGTTGATCCAATATAATGATGCCAAACTACTTGTGGTACAAGTGATCCATAAAATAGTCTCTCCGACTCGACCCCCAAAATAAAGGTTAGGCTTATAGCGGATCACATAACCGGTAAGCATACCGATTGCATAACTAACCAAATGCGAGTCAGGCCTCCAATAGTATAACATAACACTTTGTTGTGTAGTAAATACATCATCACCCATCGGGAACTCTAAGAAATGTTTGATTCCAAATAATATCCTAGGTGCTACACCTATGAATATTCCCAGTAATATAACTATTATATTCCAAATGACTCCAATCCTTGGGTAGTGATATAATACTAGAAATATAAGGGGTGCCAACATAAACAGTTGATAGTCCGATGATATATACCTAATAATTGAATTAAATCTATAAGTATATAGGTATCTATATCTAAATACTAAGTATATAGTCTATATCCTTAGTATCTATAAGTATTCTTTAATCTTGTCTTTTATTTACAACTCATACCAATTTGCTGTATTGCACTAAAATTTGAAATTATAAGTATAACTATATTAGAAATTGTCATTATTAAACATATTTGTACGAAAACCTTACTGGATATCTGTCGGGCAGTGAAATGTCAAAATTGCTGGTCATTAGTAGAGACGCCAACCAATTCTGTCGACACGGAATGAATACCCCGTTTGAAACCATATTCCAGTTTGGGCCTGGTATTGCAATTAGTGTTACAAATATAAATGTGATATTCATTTGTAATTACCATTTCCAATTAGTGGGAATAGGAAAACTAACAAAATCGCTCCCA